TCTTTCAGAGGACATTGTAAACGAGAAGAACCCTACACTGAAGTACACTGTCCAGCAGCAAATTGGCCATGGGTAAGTCCAATCTCAGCTACTCCTACAAAGAGAAAGGAATTTAGAAACATTGTGGGCAACAGAGATCTGCTCTCTGGGCTGGCTTTCACTCCCAGGGCCTAAACCTCTTCTCCTTTCCCCACTGCTGCTCTGTTTCTAGGCTTTTTGGAGTGGTTTTTCAAGGAGTTGACATTGCCACAGGAGGACAGGTAAGGGCCTGCTCCCACGGCAGATTCTGCAGCTCTCTGTGCTTTCCCCTCCGGTGGCAGCTGTGGCTGCAGCTTTGGGTGGCCAGGAGATCTTTGCTGCAGACACTGTTCCTCTGAAGGGCACACAAGTGTCAGCCTGCAAGACATGCTTTGGACAGACCCTGTTGGTCTTAAGTGCCCAAAAGAATGCAAGGAGGGCAGCGATATCTTTCAGAGAGGGACATGTTTGCTCCCTGTGGTTTACTAACTCTGCCAATGCATCAGCTCCTTGGTGGCTCCTTACCCAGCTGCAGTGCTGCACTTGGGAAGTGCACTTAGATCGGAGTCTGCAAGGGATCTAAAGGCCCTGAGTGCTGCTTATAACCCTGGGCTCATCTATAAAATACCCAGGAATGGGTTATTCCTTTCCAAACCCAGAAAATAATTACCAATATGAACTGGGTTAATAACCTTCTTTAGAGTAGCAGAATCCAACTTCAAGATGTTAGAAAGTTCAGGGATTGTATTTCTTTGTGTAACTTTTATGACCTTTTAGGATGGGATTTCCCCCATTATGGATGGATTGTTGGCAGACCATTTTTCCAGAGTTTACAAGGCAAAGTGTCCATAGCCATGTGTCCTGTAACTGGCAGCCAAGAGCGAGTGGAGGAATCGTCTCTTGTGCTGTCAGTTCAGAAGCTCTGGTGTCTAATCCCAGGAAGTTTGGCCCACCTGGGCTCCAGCATTCCACAAACCCCTGCTCCATGTGTGCTGTGGTCCCAGGCAACAGACTTCTCAAGCCTGTGGCTTTCAATCTCCTTTTAGGTGGCCATAAAGAAGATTTTTCTCCGAGACAGAAAGAACACAATGGAACGACTTGTAACTGAGGTGTCAGTCTTGAAGAGCATGAGACACCCCAATATTGTTGACTATATAGACAGGT